ACCACCACAATATCATCACTGACCACCACAATTTAAACAATGACCAACACAATATCATCACTGACCACCACAATATAAACACTGACCACCACAATATCAACACTGACCACCACAATATAAACACTGACTACCACAATATCATCACTGACAACCACAATATAAACACTGACCACCACAATATAAACAATGACTACCACAATATCATCACTGACCACCACAATTTAAACAATGACCAACACAATATCAACACTGATCACCACAATATAAACAATGACCAACACGATATCAACACTGACCACCACAATATAAACACTACCACAATATCATCACTGACCACCACAATATCAACACTGACCAACACGATATCATCACTGACCGCCACAATTTAAACAATGACCAACACAATATCAACACTGATCACCACAATATAAACACTGACTACCACAATATCATCACTAACCACCACAATATAAACAATGACCAACACGATATCAACACTGACCACCACAATATAAACACTGACCACCAACACTGACCACCACAATATCAACACTGACCACCACATATTGATTTTCTTCTTTTACTATTTAAAATGAGTAAAATCTTATTTCTTATAATCTTATATGTGGAATCATCTCCCGACCTCTGTTCGGGACTCAGACACACTCTCTACATTTAAAACTAGACTCTAAACTTTTCTGTTTGTACAAGCATTTTGCTAATATTAGTTGTTGCGTTATTACTCACTAATTGATTAACAGACCTGTCAATCTCTCTCTCTCTCTCTCTCTCTCTCCCTCTGTCTCCCTTTATTTGAGCTCATGAGCAATGTCTGCCTGAGTCGCCACATGGGAGCCACCAGAGCTGCTAGAGTCACCAGAGCTTCATCTCTGTTGGCTGATCTGCACCATTTTGACCACCATGGAGTTTCATGCCATACAAAGCTGTGCAAACCTCACCTGCATGAACTGACCCTCCTCCTGCTGCTGCTGCATAAACTCAGACTATCGAATAACCATTGCTCCACCTGTTCTTCCCCGTTTTGTATTCTGATATTTTATACTAACGCTGTTTGCTATCTGGTGTTGTCCAGAGGAGGATGGGTTCCCCTTGTGAGTCTTGGTTCCTCTCAGTGTTTCTTCCTCTTTGCTCTTAGGGAGTTTTTCCTTGCCACTGTTGACGCTCATGGGGGCTTGGACACAGATTTTTCTGTAAAGCTGCTTTGTGACAATGCCTGTTGTAAAAAGCGCTGAATAAAAAAAAAAAAAAAGAGAGAGAGAGACAGACACATCTCACTTCCAGTTAGTCTGGAATATCCAAGCCTTTGTGTTTTTGAAATAACAGCGGTTTTTGGGAATTTCTGGAGCAATTTTTTAAGTTCTAATGAACTGTTCATTTTTCAACAGACACTGGAGACAGTTGGTGTTTCATTGTGTGGTACTGGGAGGATTGAGTGCTTTGACAACATTCTGCGAGTGGCTACTTGGGACTGAAGGGGCAGCGGGTGCCATTTTCTGTAAACTTATATAAACTTATGTATATACAGGATTCAGAAATGCACCACCTTCTCTGGGCCCGAGCTCATTTAAAATGGACTGAGGGGAACTGGAACAGTGTCCTGTGGTCCAACAAATCAACATTTGAAATTGTGTTTGGAAATCATGGACACTGTGTCCTCCGGGCTAAAGACCACCCAGCTTGTTATCAATGCACAGTTCAAACGCCAGTATTCATGATGGCGTGGGTGACGTACATATCTGTGAAGGCACCATTAATGCTGAACGATATATACATGTTTTGGCAATACATGCTGCCATACACACAACGCCTTTTTCAGGGAAGGCCATGCTTGTTTCAGCAAGACGATGTCAAACCACATTCTGCATGTATTACAACAGCATTGCTCCGTATTAAAAGAGTACGCGTGCTAAACTGACCTCCCTGCAGTCCAGATCTGTCACCACTGAAAACATTTGGCGTATTATGAAATGAAAAATATGACAAAGGAGACCCTGAACTGATGAGCAGCTGAAATCCTATATCAAACAAGAACAGGAAAACATTTCACTTTCAAAACTACAGCAGTGTCTTCTCAGTTCCCAAACACTTACAGAGTGTTGTTAAAAGAAGAGGTGATGAAACACAGTGGTAAACATGCCCCTGTCCCAACTTTTTTGGAACATGTTGTTGGCATCAAATTCAAAATGGGCATACATTTTTAAAAAAACAATAAAATTTCTCAGTTTCAACATTTGATATGTTGTCTTTGTAGTATGTTCCTTTAAAAAATGGTTTACATGATTTGCATATCATTGCATTCTGTGTGGTGGGTCCAACGTCAGGTCTGGCTAACACATTCCAAGCTTCAAGTTGCTACTGTGATCCACATATTTCCTGAAACCCACTTTGCTACATCTTTAGCACACATAGACACTGATCATCTGCAGCAAGATAGGTGCTAACATACTTACACAGGTGAGTATTGAGAATAAAAGCATCGGGCATGGGGGACACAGATCTTGTCACTTATTCAATTTTTCTAAGAAAAGTATTACATGTAACCCCTACTAAGTAGGAGAACCTGGACCTGCTGGAGCAGTACTGACAGAACAGTCCCTGACAGTAAACCTGACAAACACAAATGTAATGATATTTAAAAAGGCTGCAAACCTTCTCTTCTTTTTCTTCCTATTTAATATATAAATGTCCTACACTGCTCTTAAACTCCTTACAAAAGCTTTGATGGGGACAAGACGGTTCCCTGTGGTACCCCTCTTCTCACTAGAACAGTGTGAAAAACTTTTTCAGTTCTAACAAAATATAGTCTAAACAAAAGATAAACCATTAAGTTCTGGGCTAAAAGATGATTAACTGTGTTAAAAGCTCTTAAAAAATCCTGACAGAGCTTGCTGCTGTTTCCAAGTGACTGTAAATATTGTGAAACACAATGTATCACACACTTCCTATTAATAAACAGGAGGAAATCCTAAAGTGAAGTAAACCTGTCTACTCAGATTTCTTTAGAAAATCCTTTAAAAACATTTAATTATGTGAGAAGTTAACGTTATACACATGAGATTTACAGGTATATTCTTTCTTGAAATTGCTAAAAAAATTCCCATACTATGTTTTAGACAGAGAATGCAGAAACACCTGTAAGGAGCTGAACACAATAACGTACAGTTACAATACTACAGCATAAAGTTATTGTACTACAGTTACTATACTAAAATGTACTGTTTCTATATTACAGTATACTTTACAGATACTGTACTGTAGTGTACAGTTCTATATGACAGTATATTGTAAAGTTACTGTTCTATACTGTAGTGGACAGTTACTGTAATACATTATACTATATAATGATTATACTACAGCAATTAACCAAACAAACCAAAATAAAAAAAAAAACAAAACAAACAAAAAAAAAAAAACTAGAAACTAAATTTATCTGCACTTGAACATCCCCTTGTGTGTGCTTTGAGTTATGATGATGCTGACACCCAGAGTTTCTGGTTAGCATGTCTGAAATTAGCATAGCTTCTTTTGTTTCTACTATTCATTTGTTGGCTCTTGTAAATAGCGAAAATCATAACTGGTAAATAAATAGGCCCACAACAGTCAGAAGCATTGAAAGGGGTCCTTTACAAGATAAACAGAGAGTGAGCCAATGGCTCCACAAACAATGAAAAAAGTTTGCCATCCTTGCCATGATGTAAGCAGGTGGAAGCACACTAGAACACAGCAGCAAGCAGCAAGCTAGTAGTGCTGCTTCTGAGCAAACCAAGAAAAAATAGAATATTTAAAGTCTGGACTATTTTAAAAGTTTTAACTCTTCCAACATTTAAGGTGCTAATGTTCCTTATTTGTGGGGAAAAGGTGGCACACAAGAGTTTGAAACCAGGAAATCTGCTGTGTCAACAACCTGTCGTGGTGATCCAGCAGCTAAGCCTTTGTGCTTTTTTTAGAGGAAGGCTCAAGGATTGCAAATATCCTCTCAGGAGTCACACACTATCACACAATGACTAAATGCATTTAGTACTGCTTTCCAGCATAATAGACAACATACATCTGAACAGATAAACTCTTACATAGCAAATCATATGCTGGGCTGAACTAACTGCAAAGATGTAACAAGCAATGGGGCAGCCTGCATTATTAAAAGGATTAAGGATGCAGCAGCCCAGGACATTACTTGGAATCACTGTTTCAGTCATCGTGAAGCTCTGGCATCAAAAGAAATGCCACGTGAGATGGAACTGGTAATGAAAGACTTTGTCAAAACTGTAAACTTTAATAAAGGTAGTGCTCTCAACAGTTGTCTTTTTGAGACCCTGTATGCCAAATTTTTTTCATACATTTCATCCAAATGTAAAAATTAATTAATTTGATGGAAGAAATACACAGTGTTTCCCTGGAGAAGCAGTCACCACTTGGTGACTTGGTGATGAGATGGTATAGAACAGATGGGCCCAACCTTCTTATAAATTAAGTGTATTTCCTTTTTTGTTGTTCATTAATGTTCAGGGTTAGATTTGTTATTTGTGCTGCATCAAAAAATCAATGACAAAAATATGGGTCACCTGAAAAAAAACCCTACAATATAAAGTGCAGTTACTATATTAGAGTATGCTGCACAGTTACTATAACATAGTGCATAATAATTATATTACAATAGAGCACAGTTATTATATTATAGTGCACAGTAATTACACAACAGTACAGAATACAGTTACTATATTATAGTGCACAGTAATTACACAACAGTATAGAGTACAGTTACTATCTTATAGTGCACAGTAATTATACTACAGAATTGAGTAGTTACTAAACAATATATTGTATGGTTACACTATTACTTCATACTTAGGATTAATATGCTGGAGATCTTTTCAGAAATACATAAGAAGCAGATGATTACATTCTTCAGTTCAATATTATTACTTTCCAGGCTTACACATACACACAAAAAACAAACCTCTGAACACAGTTGTTGATACCTGAGTATGTTGAGTGAGCAGTGTGGATCGTCCAGTCTAGCAGAGAGCAGCTTCACTCCTGACTCTCCTGGGTGGTTGTAGGTCAGATCCAGTTCATTCAGGTGTGAGGGGTTTGAACTCAGAGCTGAAGCCAGAGAAGAACAGCCTTTCACTGTGATCATACAACCAGATAATCTGCAGAGTGAGAGGAGAAAGAAGAAAATAACCAGAGATAGACTGAGAAAGATGAAATATTAAACCAAACTTAACAGCAGCATACTGAAAATTGACAGTTTCACAACTATGTATTAACATTCTAAAAATCTACTTATTACACAGTTATTAAACCAAGATTATCTTGTGATGAAACATCTAAATACTGAGTTAGTATGCACCTGTAATTTTTTGTTATTAAATACTGAAAAACTATATGTTCATAATGCCATTGTTTGTTAATATTGGCATCCTGTGTGCTAATAAAACTGTTCTGGTGCCAATAAATTCTATTTTAAACTGATCTTCCCACTCTGATAACTTCACTATTAACTGGAAAACATGGGGTCATTTAATCATGAGCTTGAACCAGCCATTAATTTTCACTGCAAAGTTTAAAAACAAATACTTAAAATATAGTTATGGGCCACAGTAAGGAGGGGTTTGTGAGATTTAGTTTGCTCCAGTCATACAAAACAAAGCTATTTCCATTTAATCTACTCCTCACTTAACACAGTTTCTTAATACTGTTAATTTATTTAATATGAAAAAAATATGATCTAGCAAAGTACAATATTCATAGATTTGTCTTGCAACATTCAGTACATAACACAAGCACATTGAATAATTGAATAACATTTGTAAAACAACAACAGTATATTTATAAACAGCTTATGCCAGTAATCAAAAGATGACTAAATGTTTTGTGCATGGCATTGTATTGACATAAGGGCCTTTAACTAAAGTCACAGATGTTTGTTCAAATTTTAACAATGCTATGAAGTAAAGGACCCTTAAGAATGTTATATATTAGTTTTATATAAAAAATAATTTCCCACAAACTTAAGTCACAAATTTCATATGTTTTCCTAAATGAGTGAATATACATATTCCAACACAAAGTTCCTGTACCTGAGTAAAAGTAGAAATGTCCTTGGTAAATAACGAGTGAAAGAAGTTCCTGTTCTGTATTTCTGCAAAAAAAATCTGTGTAATCGCAGATATGAGAAACTCGGATAGCTGTTCATGTATTCTTAACTAGGGCTCTTTCTTATGTGTGGTACTACTTAGAATTAACAGTATTAGTACCTAGAATTAATAAAGTTACATCAGGGGATAGAGCCTTTTCATACAAAGCCCCCAGCTTTGGAATAATCTTCTAGTCAGTGTTTAGAACTTAGACACAGCCTCAGTCTTTAAGTCTAGGCTAAGAACCCACTTGTTTAGTCAAGACTTTGGTAATTAGTTTTTTCCCCCCATTAGATAAAAGGTACAGGTCAGGGGGTTCATGGACATATAGTATTATAGTAAACTGCGAGTGTTAGTGCTGTCGTCCTGCTGCTCTAATGGGTTCACTCTCATTTGCTGATGGTGGAACAGAGGGGCACTGACATCTCAGGGTGCCCTCTTGTCTTTGTTACCTTCAGGATCTCCCTGTAAAGTAGGCTGTAATATCTCTGTATTCTGTCTTCAGTCAGATTGGGCGCCCCTTGCTTAACACTGGACCAGTCTGACCACGATGGAGCTTTGTGCTGTCCAAAGCTGTGCAGAAAGCCTCACCTGCATGCCACTGACCCTCCTCATGATACTGCTGCTTGCACAAACTCTAATTATTTAATCATAGACATCGCATTCCTGCCTCATAATACTCTGAGCGCTTCTCATATTCATATTAACAGATGATCATCAGATAGTAGTCTTCTAACATTAGTCATTGACATTCATGGTTTTCTCTGTGATACTGTTTTTCACTTGTAAGAGTGACTGATTTTCACAGATCTGTTTCTCCTTGTTACTCTGATAGACCTCTACAGTCTCTCTCCGGTGTCGACCAGAGGAAGATGGGATCCCCTTTAGAGTCTTGGTTCCTCTCAAGGTTTCTTCTTCTTGCTCTTAGGGAGTTTTTTCTTGCCAATGTTGCATTTTGCTCGCTCATGGGGGATAGGACATTTTCAGTAAAGGTGCTTTGTGACAATGTCGATTTTAAAAAGCATTATATAAGTTAACTTTGACTTGATTTGACTTCTTTTCTGAGAATGTGACCTCATGTAAAGTTTTGATTGACTTTTGCAGAAGACACATGTAAAAATACTACACTCATAAGGAGAGACCAGTGGGCTAAATACCGCCATAGTGATTTTGTAAATATAACTTAATTATCATGCTACATTTTGTGTGGTGAAGTGCGGCTCCTTTAAGTTTTATGAACCAGGCTCAGAGTCATGCCTTAATGAGTTGTAAGTAAAGCAGTAGGTTGTTCATTCAAATACCCAGGATTGCCTCATTGTAGCGGTGTCCCTGACTTAGAATTTACATAGGCAAATCTGACTGGTCAAGTCTTGCCCATTATTGACTGATTGTCTAATTGTTTTTTCTTTTTTTTTGATCTTTGATCCATTATCCAAATTATACAGTGCTTCAAGTAAAGCCAAGCCCAGACAAGATGCTGCTCCGATGGTCCTATGGAATAGAACAGTGCAGTCTATGGTGGTGATTTAGAAATTAGAAGAGGTGCTGATGTATGCTGTAAAAACAAGCCATGAAAATCAATGGAAATTAAATAGAAAACTAAATAAAAATGTTAATTCATGAACAGCATTAAAAGGAATACTACTTAAACATTTCATGCTGCATACAGGTTTTCTGGCTGGTCTTCCAGGCGTTCATTTAATCACAGTCAGAATGCTGTTGATGGTAAACAGATGTACTGTGCTCTTTTATAAAGGATATTCTTATTGAGCAGAACAGCTAAATTGACTATTTATCTGTTTGGATAAACGAGGACTGTATAACTGTGTTGCTGCTCTGCACTGCGGCCAGTGCATGCAAGCTATATCAGTGATGATGCCGGGTCGCTCATACCATGCAGAGGTAGCATGTATGTATCAGGTATAAAGAAAAGATTAAAAGCGCATGACTTATTTTCATATTTTTATAATTAGTATTATTAATAGGCTGACTACTGTGCATTCACATAGTATTTTTACATGCAGTAATTAATTGACAGAAAGCTCACCTGAGTATCTCCAATTTACAATGTGAATTCATCAGTCCAGCAGAGAGCAACTCCACTCCTGAATCCTGCAGGTCATTATTACTGAGGTCCAGCTCTTTCAGTGGTAAATCTGAACTCCACATTGATGCCAGTGCTTCACAGATGCTCCCACCGAGGTTACAATGATCCAACCTTGACATTAAATAATATGTCCTTTTAGAAGCACAAAACGGGGTAAATCCTAAACTTACAGGGTACAGGCTAGTACATTTGTATTTGTCTGCCTATAGCTTTCACTGCCAGTTCTAGCTTAATATTCAAATAGGCTAAATGTATATAGAAGCCGTTTTTCAAACTGTGTGTACGTACTGTATACTCAGTCAGCTCCACAATTATTGTCACCCATTAACATGGGCAAAAAGGTAAGGAAAAAAGTCTTTGTCACTACTTGGCTCAATCTACCTCTAACCTTATTTTGAAGTACTCCAAATTATTTTTTTTAAATATGTTTCACAGTTACTGGCACACACAGAAATTCTAATGAAAAAAAGGTAGCTCGAGCATGAAGCTTTCTTGTCTCAAAATGAATAGTACTCTTTTTGATAAGCTCTAAATGCTTAAAAGGAAAAATATAACATTTACATGTAAAACATGTAAAACTTAAAACTGTCCATGGAGGGCAGCACAGTTTTTTTGCCTGCTGCTTAGTTTACATCATACATGAGCATCAGTGCCATTGCCAACGCAGTGTGCAGCCTCAAATGCACACGTAGCCCTGGTCAGGCAGAGAAGTGAGTTTTTGTAGCTTTCAGCTCAATTTTTTTTTTTTTCAAATCTGACTTTGGATGACGATCTTTAAGTCACATATGTTTAAGATTATTGAAAAAGTTTTGATATTTTATCACACTTTATGTGATATGTGATTTTTATTACCTAAATACAATCTTTGGTTGAGTATAGTGTTTAAATTTTACATTGTAGTGTCAGGGCTGTTCTTGGTTTCTGCAACAAGAAAAATGGACTGGAATATACATTTAATTTGAATAAGTAAAATCAGATATGCATAGAGAATGCCGTAAAATTAAAATAACTTTGTCTATAATGGTATTTTCATATACTGAAATAATTCTGATTCAGAAGTGCCCCTACAAAACGCCCTTTTAAAGCACCTCAGCCCCTGTCCTCACCAAAGCCTGTGCAATGCCACTGACATTCATCAGCATCACAAAGATTTGAAAACAAACAAATTAAATGAGACAAAATTTGTAGACTTTCATGAGTCAGGCAATGATATAAAAAAGAGTCAAAATTTCTCCAAAAATCAAACCTGGAGATTTGCAGAAGATGGCAGTATTTTGGGGCCATTTAATTACAATTAGACACCACATCCATGGCAATAAATTATTTTAAATGTGTGCCAAAAGAAAGCCTTTTCTTTGATCTAACCATAAACACAAGGACCTTGAGTTCACTAGATGCGTCTGGAACTTTGATTGGAGTTTGGTTCTCTGGTTAGTTGAAACAAAAATAGGGCTTTTGGCTTTTGACACCTTAAGTTGGTGTAAACATATTTTTGTTATACTGAATAGAACCTAATCCCCATTGTAAAGTATCATGATGTTTTAGGACTGTTTTTGACACATAAAATTATGGACTCAAGAGAGATTTTACTGGGAGATTTTACTTGAAAGTCTGTCTGTCTCTGCCAGAAAGACAAAATTGGGTCATGTGTGGATCTTCCAATTGGACAATGTTCCAATCCACACTAAAATGATTTACTGGCCACAGAATCAAGTTTTTGACATGGCCATCTCAGTCCCCTGACCTAAACCCCACTGAAAAAATGTGGGATGAGCTGAGGAGGACAATCCAAATCAGAGGATCTAAGACCCTGGAGAATCTGGAAAGATTCTGTGTTGAGATGGGGGCTTAGATTGCTTGTATTCTCAGATTGCTCTGTATTCTCCTGTATTCTCTAACCAAGCATTATAGAGGATGACTTACTGCTGTTATGTTGGCAAATAAAGGTTCCATAAAGTACCAAATGCAGGAGTGCCAATAATTGTAACGCATGGCTTTATTAAAATATTTTATAAATGTTTTTGTTTAGAGCAAATCAACCTCAAACATGCAATTGTCTTATTTTCAGTGTGAATCAATTTATAGTGTAGTAATTTATAGTGACCTTATTAATACATCTTTAACAAGTGTGCTAATATTTATGAGCTGACTGTATGCACTGTATGAATACAGAATGAGGAATTTCTAGAATCTCACTCATACTACACTCACAAAACATACAGTTTAAATAGCAGAGTGATGTCGAGTGATTATAAATATGTTTATAAGGGTATATGCCTATCATGATTTTTATGGACATTTCTCATTTCTTTACAGTTAGATTGCTTTTTTTATTGGCTTATTGGTCACCTATTTTTTTTAACAGACAGCAAAGACAATTACATTAACAATTAACAGTATTATTAGTGACTATTAATAATTTTTTCCCCAAAGCTCATACTTTGCTGGCCAAACACACTGGTATGAAACATAACCGTAATAGATGAGATCTACTTCATTTTCACAGGTAACATGGCCTTCGATAACTCCTAGCAGCTTTCTGTAAGTATGTAGACACCTGACCATCACATCTATATGAGCTTGCTGGACATCCTATTCCAAAATCAGGCTCATTAATATGGATTTGGTCCCCACTTTGGGGCTATAACATCCCCCATTCTTTTGGGAAGGCTTTCGACAAGATTGGAGTGTGTCTGTGGAAATTTGTGCCCATTTAGTCAAAGAGTGTTTGTGAGATCAAACACCAATGTTAGATGAAAAGGCCTGGCTCACAATAAATGTTCCAAATCATCCAAAAGGTGTTCAGTGGGGTTAAGGTCAAGGATCTGTGCTGGTCACTGGAATTCCTCCACACCAAACTCATCAAACCATGCTTTATGGACCTCACTGTGCGCAAAGGGGCAGAGTCATGCTACAACACAAAAAGGCCTTCCCCATAACGGTGCCTCAAAGTTAGAAGCATATAATTGTCCAACATGTCTTCGCATGCTCTAGAATTAGCATTACCCTTCACTGGAACAAAGGGGCCCAAACCCTGTATAACAGCCCCAGACCATTATTTCTAATTTGTTAAACTTTACTGATAGCGCTATGCATTCTGGCATTTCGACTGCTCCAGATTCCAGTGGTAGTGTGCTTTATACCACTCCAGCCAGTACTTGGCACTGCACATAGTGATCTATTCAGTATAATCCAGTACTGCCAACGTTTGTCTATGGAGATTGCATGGCCATGAACTCAATAATTAGGAGGAGTGTCCACATAATTTTGGACATATAGTGTAGTTTTGTGCAGGGATAGTTAAATAGGTCTTTTAATGTAGAAATTGACATATTACAATAGCAAATATAGTCAAAATGCCTTTTTAAAGATATTTTCATCATCTAAATTAAAAATGGCAAAATATAAATGCAGCACGCTTGTACTTAACTGGCTCACATTATTTACCATTCTGAGCAATTTCTATTGTGTACTCCTAAAATTTAGATCATGTTAAAGTCACAGTATATTCAATAGTTTACTGATTTCATCGGTCATTCTTGAATCACATTGCGTATTAATATAACCCAGGGAGATTTTAACAATTTATTGAAGGTTGGTCAGCAATAGAGGCATTTAAAATAAAGTCAGAGAAAAAAAAAAAAACTTACAATGCTCGTCTTGTGTTTTTCACCACTGGCAGTAGTCTCCTCAGTCCTTCATCTGATGGCCTGTATTTCTTCAGCTCAAACTTCTCTTGAGTCTCTTCTGACATCAGCAACACAAACACCAGAGCTGACCACTGTGTAGATGACAGTTTCTGTGTTGAGAGATTTCCTGAGTTCAGGTATTTCTGAATTTCAGGTGTCAGTGAATTGTCTTTCAGTTCACTCAGGCAATGGAAGAGATTGATGCTCTTCTCAGAGTATTTTTTCTTTTTGATCTTTCTTTTAATGTAGTCTACAATGGCCTTTAGGCTCACTTCTCTGATGTCCATTTCTGGCTGGAGACTCTTAAGGAGCCTCTGATTGGACTCCAGGGAGAGGCCACAAAGGAAGCGGAGGAAAAGGTCTAGATGTCCATTTTCACTCTTCATGGCCTTACGCACTGCTGTCTTGAGAAGATCACCCAGTGTATGTTTAAACTTCCACTTTATTTTCTCCATTATGGTTTGAAGGAGTGGGTTACATTCATGACTGAATGTGAGGAACACAAAGACGCCAGCAAGAAACTCCTGGAAAGTCAAATGCACAAAACAGAAAATCTTCTCATCCTTTTTAAAGATTTGTGTACAAACTCCAGAGTACACTACAGCTTCATCAACATCAATGCCACATTCTTTCAGATCCTTCTCATAGAATATGAGTTGTCCTTTTAGTAACTGAAGAAAAGCTAGTTTTCCAAGCTTCAGTATGCCCTCTACTCTCAGTCTGTCTCTCTCAGCTGGTGGGACTGTACTGTCTTCATGTTGCATTGTGCTGTATTTATCGTTCTTTTGCCTTGTGTGGAACAGCAGAGAACGTGTGTACATTTCTGTAAGAGTTGTCGGAGCATTCTTCATGTCTTTGTCATCCTTCAACATTTCCTGAAGCACAGTGGCTGAGATTGAACAAAAGACTGGTATGTGACATAAAATGTGGAGACTTCTTGCTGTCTTAATGTGTGAAATGATTCTGCTGGCTTGGTCTTCATCCCTGATTCTCTTCCTGAAGTACTCCTCCTTCTGTGGATCATTAAATCCACGTATTTCTGTCACATGATGAAAGTATTTGGGTGGAATCTTTTTGGCTGCTGCTGGTCGAGTGGTTATCCAGATGAGAGCAGAGGAAAGCAGCTCTCCTTTGATGAGGTTTGTTATTAGTTTATCAATGGTGGTCTCTTCTGTTACATTAGATAGTTTCTTTTGATTAAAATCTAGATTAAGTTTACTTTCATCCAGTCCATCTAATATGAGAACCACCTTACACTTGTCATTCAAGATCTTTACATCCGCATTATGGAACTCATCATGGAAGTAAAGTAGAAGATTCCAGAGGCTGTACCGTTCCTTTTTGATCACGTTCAGTTCCCGAAAGGGAAAAAACAGAATGAAATCTAAATCCTGGTTGCATTTGTCTTCAGCCCAGTCAAGAATAAACTTGTGTACAGAGGCCGTTTTCCCCACTCCTGCTATTCCCAATGTAAGTACTTTAGTACCAAGCACATTTTGATTGGATTGTGTTTTGAAAATGTCACTGAACTTGATTGGTGTTTCCTCTATTTTGGGATAAAAACATTCTATCTGTCTCACTTCATGCTTAGTGTTCACTCCTCCTGTGCAGCCTTCAATCACATATAGTTCAGTGTAAATGTCTTTCAAAAGCAAATTACTCTCCTCTAGTGAAGTCCTGTCATACAGCTTTGCAATTTTTGCCACAAAATTTCTTTTCAGTGCATCTTTTACATCTCCATCTTCTTTAGCTGCTAAAAAGTAACAACAAAATGTTATTCCATTTTTTAGTGGCATGTGAGTAAGGATGAGTGGTTTTGTCAGACTAGATTTGTATTATACGTAATTTCTTCTATGTATATTCATGTTTGTTTACCACTGCTGACTAGCATGACTTATATAAGTAAAAAAACAAGGATATATCAGAAAGACAGTAATAAAACTTTTACTAATAAGGCTTAACAGAAAGTCAATCTATGATACATACTACACAAATTTCTTATTACATTTTATACCTATCATGTCTTCTTTCTCTCTTTTGGTACAGCATAGAGGAAGGAATGTCAAGTTATACAGTAATTAGTGGATTTGGTACACATTCTAACATGTTAAGTTTAAAAGGTATATTTTGAAGATATTTCAAATAGAAGCATAGACTTTTCTACATGGTCAGTATGTGCCAGAGTGAGGCCAAGATTGCTGGAATGTAAAGGCTTTTGAGCCTACAAGGTTAATATTTATTCTTTACCTATAGTTTCCCAGACAAACATTAAGCCTACTCATGAACTATATTTTGCTTTCGATTGAAAACTCAAAATCCTGCATAGTCTATGACTGGCTTAATCCCTGTATGGAAAGCTGGCCCACAGTATACAAACCCCAAATCACCCTAAATACAGACAATAAGCGCATATGTTAAGGACTTATATTATGGGCACCATGATGTTTGCTTTTCAATCATTGCCATGCATTAGTGATGATAATAATGATAATGTGTTGAGTTTACCTGCAGTGAGAGCACTAACTGAGACTCCAGTCTGAGCTGCAATGGAGGAGGCTGCTGCAGTCTTACCAGTTTCCTTTTCACTTCTGTCTCCACCTGAGAGAGTGAGCATTAGTAATTAATAAGGAGTACAAAACATCTCTTTGAGCAATTATTATGGAGTTGGGAGAACGAAAAAAAGGATAAAACAAATGCTGTCAAATGTTCTGGCACCCTGCGATGGACTGGCGGCCTGTCCAGGGCAGTTTTCTGCCTTCTGCCTGATGACAGCTGGGATAGGCTCCAGATGATGATGATGATGTGTGTGTGTGTGTGTGTGTGCGTGTTCGTTCTGGTATACTAGTCTACTTTCCCAAAAAAATGAAAGATCCCACTTCAGATATAGCAGAGATAGCCAGAACCTAACAGCTGCAACTGTACAGCCAAGCACTTCACTGCAGAAGAAGACTGGTTACTTTGCCCTTAAACAGTTTTGTTTTGCTCAAAAACTGTGTGCGCACAGCAGGACAGACAGAAGTTTAGGGCTGACACAGTCAAGTGTAAAGTTTAGTATTACTTCAAGTCCTTGCAAAGCAGAAATAAACATGTGTTCTGAGTTTGTCAAACTACAGAAAAATGTATTATTAACCACCCAACCAAATTTGAATGATTAAGAAAATCACCAGGTACACAAAATTAGGTTTCAAAGTCATGAAAAAATAAGCAGTATTTCTGCTCTGAAATGCTGGAGGCGTGTCTACTGAAGGCACTGAAACAACACCCAATCATGTGAAACGTGCAACCTCTCTTTAGCTTTGTGTTCGCCAGCATGTAACTGCTACACTATTTAAGGTGACCCAGGAAAATGTGAACATGAAGCTGGCAAACAGGAAGCCGACCTCAGTTCCGTACTAATGTTGGCACATCTATTAGCTTACTAGGTTGGGCAGCAAAGCCTCTCTTGGACTGAAATGAAGCCGCTGGCAGTTCGTCTAGCAGTTTTATTGGACTTGTACAGCCATAGCTACATGTTTGAACTGCCTGAGCCAGAATCCAATTTGGAGCCAGAGGACACTGACCTACCCAAGAAACAAATTTGTTCCTCTCAGTCTGCAACAGAATAGTATTTTCTCACATTTATGCAAGTTATACTGACTAGCACAACCTAACCAAATAAAGTTAGGCTAAGAGAACCACTGATGGTAATGCGCTCTAGTTGTCATAATGCTTTAGTGTTAGGGGAGGGGTCATGCTAAATATGTCTCTAGTTTCACTGAACCACAGTTTCAGGCCCACCCAAAAACTCCTGAACACAAAAATGATGAAAAACAGTTTAAAAATCCACAGTTCACTCCTACATAGCTCACAGTCTTTTCACATGTCTTTAGCAATTATTTTCTAACATGTATAAAGTGTTTAGAAACAAATCTCTGAATTTCCTTTACACAGACTTTCAGCTTTCTCCTGTGAACACATTACACTGGGAATACACTAAGCATATGCTATGTGGTCATCAGAAAATGTATGTTGTGGTAGGATTTTGGGGCTGTATTACAGAACCTTTCTGTCTTTTTGTCTTAACTTAAGATCTGACAGGTCAAGATAAGGTTTTTCACAAATTCATATGACAGAAGCAAATCTTAATTTAGTTTAAGAATCTTATCTTATCTTACAGCTTACATCTTAACTTACTCTACTGAAGTCGACAATCAACTGTCGTGTCTGTTACCTAGCAACCGACCATACCCGCACAGCTGAAATGTAAAAACGTAATCAAGTTAGTTAGCCAGACAGCTAACGTTAGCTACCGTTACTGAGGTAAAAGCATCATATAAAAGTAAAGCGCAACAAACTGAAAGTTAAGAATATTGTTTTAGAGCTTCCTGCTGTTTATCAGCGTCGCTGTTTTCAGTTTCAGTCTCCATTTCCCCAAAAGCTTTAGCCGAGCGTGCTAACGTTATTCCTCCTAATAAACAGACACACGTTCAGCACTGTGACCTCATTATTCACCACCTTCACTGTATTATTTTATCTGACGAGTTTTCATCAACATTAACACACGAAGGTAATCAAGTAACAACTGAAACCGCTCCCTATTACAACATTTGTATTATATTTGTATTATCTCAATCTGTAATTATATCAAATACCTCTGTGCGTAGAGTCAGCTACAATGTTGATATTAACTGGTCCGTTAAACAAACTTTCATGTAGAAGAAGTGCATTGACTGTTCCTCCGGTCTGAGCTGTGGAGTTCTGGACTGGTTCATTCTGAGGTTTGGTGGTCTGGACTCGACCAGTTTGATCTGTGTTCACATGAGGGCACAAGAGCATTACCATAAAATTCCAGAAAGGATACAAAAAGTCTCAGAACTAAGCAAATTTAAACCACTGGTTTTCTGTCAGCAAGTCTGCTTACATTTCCAGCTCTGAGGCTATGATCCATACTACTATCGTAAGAACATCCAGTACCATATTGTGGAGAACTATAATGAAGCATTCATCTAAAATTACTCTTCGTCTTTTCACTGGGTCTGAAAGAAGTGCTAGTGAATGTGTTGTGTTTAAAACACATCACGTAACTGTAAATCTTCTTAAGCCTTTTGGGTTCCAGCACACATGGTTGTTATCAACCCTTACAAAACATCATAAACCAACATTAACAAGCAAATTTTCTGTTTGTTTATAAATTAACCAAATGAAACTTGGCATTTTACACTGTGTACATTCTTCATTCAAACGAGACCACCTGAATATATTAGAAAAATGAGTACACCATAAAAAGATCTTAATAAAAAGATAAACTCTTTGATTAACAAATGAGCAGGACAGTGGAAAGAGTAAAGAAGAAAAGAAGTATATTCCATTACCTCGTTTATCAGTTATATCCTGCAACACTTCAGAATTGTTTGCCATCTTGTATGACTGGAACTGAAAAAAGGATAATGCAGTCAAGTTAATGTAGTTTTTTGATAACTGAAAAGACGCAGTAATATTTGGTGTAGGATTCCACATGTGAATATTATAATCTGTAGTCTGTATCTATAAAAGATCATTTCTCGCCTCTCATTTCTAATCTCTTAAATGGAGAAAACAGTAATGAATGTTCAACATATCATTGCTGTCTAAAGAAAAATATGTATCTCAAAAATAATAATTTACTAGTGAAGGCAAAAACGCTCATCATTTCTAATGTAAGTAGTTTTCTGTTGTTCCATAAATAAAATAAAATAAAATAAAATAAAATGAAAATAGAATAAATTATATAGAAAATAAGAAATAATAATAAAAGCCAATGTGAAAGGAGTTAAAGAAATATGTAAATGTGTACATATGCAGATATGAATATCTATACATTTGCAGGTCTGAGGACACACAATGCAATAACTATTATATACAGAATATTACAGAATATTAAGACTATTTATAAAAATGACATCTAAATAGCTGTGCAAATAAACATTACGTTACAGAGAAGTAGCTGTAATACAGTAAAGAGGTTTGTTTGGTTTAGTTTAAGTTTAAGTGTGAAGTGACTGCTATGGTTAATGAGCTACAGCTCTTGGGGGGAAAAAGCCATTAGCATGTGTGGTTGTGCTGGTTTTGATGCTCCTAAATCTTCTACCAGAGTGAAGTGGCTAGAAATGTCCAGTATGATAAGTGCTGTAATTGTGAGTGCACTTCATCACCCTGTAGTTGTAGATGTTCTGTAGTGTTGGCAGATACATCCAGTGATCCTCTCTGATGTCCTGATTATGTGCTGGAGTTTGGCTTGTTCTTGTGAGAATCATCACCACTGGCTATTACGCCCACTACAGTGATGTTATCTGCAAACCTCAAGATCTTCACAGCTGGTTCCATAGAGACACAGTCATTGGTGTAGAGACTGAAGGGGTGAGAGCACACAATCTTGTGGTACTCCAATACGGGGGTCTGGCGTGTGTTTTCCAAGCCACACCTGCTGTCTCCTGTTCATCAGGAAATTCATGATCCACTGGCAGATGAGATCTGCCACAGATGGCTGGGGCAGTTTGACTTGCAGCAGCTGTGGTACTATGGCATTTAATGCTGAGCTGAAGTCCACAAACAGAACTCTAACGCAGGTTCCAGGACTGTCGAGATGCTGAAGCATGAACTGCAGGACCAAGCTGACCACATCATCAACAGACCTGTTAAATCTATATGCAAACTGTAGCAGATCCAGCAGAGGGTTTGTAATGGCCTTCAGGTGATCTAGGACCTTCACGACTACAGAGGTCAGGGCTACTGACCTGTAGTCATTTATTCTAGTAATATTAGTTTTTTTGGGGGACTGTCATGATGGTAGAGGTAATCACACAAACATCTATGCAGTTCATTTGATAATTCTGTAAGAGATTTACTGTTGCCACTGCAAATGGAGGACAGTTTTCTGCTTGAGACTGAGTTCCTGCTTTCCTAGCTGTTTTTAGACTGAAAACTTTACAAATATGAAAGGGAAACACTACATCAATGATCATGATTAGTTTTACCTTTTCCTGACTTTGTCTTCAGTTTTTAGAAAGAACATCTGAAATGTCCATCTTCATCAAGATGACCAGGGTTAGTTTACAGAACTACGGAATACAAACATGTCACAATAGTGTAATTTCACAGTGTATGATGACTAGAACATTTGACTTACAATAGACACCAGGCCATTTACTTACTCTTTCTGTGCTTCAGCTTCATTTTCCTTGTCTAAAAGACATTTAACCAGAAAAACAAAAAACGGTCAGAACACATTCCAGTCAGATTACATCAACCTAAGTCAGTGAAGTACAATTGAAGTACCACCAAATGTTTGTGTTCATGTGTGCTTGTTTTTGTTTACTTTTATTTAGTTGCAAATAATGCAAACAATTCTAAAAGGGACTAAATTCAGCAACAAAATGTTGAGATGCTAATTAACATGAAAAACATAATGCATTCCTTTCCTTTTTTGCATATTTTTAATCATTCCTCAAGTTTATTTCTATGCCTATTGAAAATAAACAAATGCAACACTTGCAAATGCACATAAAAATTCAAAAGTTTTAAGTAGGGCTTCAACAAATAATCAGTAAAATTAAAATATTCAAAAGTGGTGAAACTGTCTGAATAGGGTACATTTTCACAACTTCTATATTGGTAATCCTGTGCATTACTTTTTATCAGTAGTGGTTTGACAGCAGGCACAGTGTATTTATTATGCTAAATGCTAACTAGTCACTAGCACCAAACAGGTGACTGCTCGGGTGCCTGCTGCACACCACAACAATAGTGGGCCTGTTGACAGTCAGAAAGCAAGATGAAGTCAATAATTAGGTGTTTTAACATGCTTATGGAGCAGTGCTGTGTTCTTTCATGCATTCAGTAACTGTCATTTGTGATTATGTAACCAATGCCAGAAACACACAGACCCATCGATGCAGCCTGTGTTTACAGCAGGAGTGAACCGCAGGGCCGGTCTCCCAGTGTTTGAGGTTCACACAGACAAATGTGAAGAAGGGTACTTAAAAAATAAACTGAGGTTTACATAAACAATAAACATCAGGTTCACCTGATCATACACTGTGACTAACCATGAAACTGTGGCTCCTTAACAATCCCTGTGAAATAACTTGCTAGCTATATTTTAACCTGCTAGTTGTGAAATAACTTGCTACCTATATATTAACCCACTAGCTGTGAAACGAGCTGCTAGCTATGTATTAACCCACTGTGAAATGACTTGCTAGCTATATATTAGCCTGCTAACTGTGAAATGACTTGCTAGCTATATATTAACCCGCTAGCTGTGAAATAACTTGCTAGCTATATTTTAACTCGCTAACTGCAATATAACTTGTTAGCTATATCTTAACCCGTTAGCTGTGAAACAACTTGCTAGCTATATATCAACCCGCTAGCCGTGAAATAACTTGCTAGCTATATATTAACCCGCTAGCTGTGAAACAACTTGCTAGCTAGATTTTAACCCGTTAGCTGTGAAACAACTTGCTAGCTATATATTAACCCACTAGCTGTGAAACAACTTGCTAGCTGCATTTTAACTGGCTAGCTGTGAAATAAGTTGCTAGCTATATGTGAACATGCTAGCTGTGAAACAACTTGCTAGCTATATATTAACATGCTAGCTGCGATATAACTTGTTAGCTATATCTTAACCCACTAGCCGTGAAATAACTTGCTAGCTATATTTTAACACGCTAGCCGTGAAATAACTTGCTCGCTATATTTTAACACGCTTGCTGTGAAACAATTTGCTAGCTATATATCAACCCGCTAGCTGGGAAATAACGTGCTAGCTATATCTTAACCCGCTAGCTGTGAAACAACTTGCTAGCTATATATTAACCTGCTAGGTGTGAAACAACTTGCTAGCTACATTTTAACCGGCTAGCTGTGAAATAAGTTGCTAGCTATATATTAACATGCTAGCTGTGAAACAACTTGCTAGCTATATATTAACATGCTAGCTGTGAAACAACTTGCTAGCTATATATTAACCCGCTAGCTGTGAAGTAACTTGCAAGCTATATATTAACACGCTAGCTGTGAAATAGCTTGTTAGCTCTATGCTAACCTGCTAGTTGTTAGCTGTGAAATAGCCTGTTAGCTCTATGCTAACCTGCTAGCTGTGAAATAGCTTGTTAGCTCTATGCTAACCCTCTAGCTGTGAAATAGCTTGTTAGCTTTATGCTAACCCGCTAGCTGTGAAATAGCTTGTTAGCTCTATGCTAACCTGTTAGCTGTGAAATAGCTTGTTAGCTCTATGCTAACCTGCTAGCTGTTAGCTGTGAAATAGCCTGTTAGCTCTATGCTAACCTGCTAGCTGTGAAATAGCTTGTTAGCTCTATGCTAACCCGCTAGCTGTGAAATAGCTTGTTAGCTCTATGCTAACCCTCTAGCTGTGAAATAGCTTGTTAGCTTTATGCTAACCCGCTAGCTGAGAAATAGCTTGTTAGCTCTATGCTAACCTGCTAGTTGTTAGCTGTGAAATAGCTTGTTAGCTCTATGATAACCCGCTAGCTGTGAAATAGCTTGTTAGCTCTATGCTAACCCTCTAGCTGTGAAATAGCTTGTTAGCTTTATGCTAACCCGCTAGCTGTGAAATAGCTTGTTAGCTCTATGCTAACCTGTTAGCTGTGAAATAGCTTGTTAGCTCTATGCTAACCTGCTAGCTGTTAGCTGTGAAATAGCCTGTTAGCTCTATGCTAACCTGCTAGCTGTGAAATAGCTTGTTAGCTCTATGCTAACCCGCTAGCTGTGAAATAGCTTGTTAGCTCTATGCTAACCCTCTAGCTGTGAAATAGCTTGTTAGCTTTATGCTAACCCGCTAGCTGAGAAATAGCTTGTTAGCTCTATGCTAACCTGTTAGCTGTGAAATAGCTTGTTAGCTCTATGCTAACCCGCTAGCTGTGAAATAGCTTGTTAGCTCTATGCTAACCTGTTAGCTGTGAAATAGCTTGTTAGCTCTATGCTAACCCGCTAGCTGTGAAATAGCTTGTTAGCTCTATGCTAACCTGTTAGCCTCTATCTACCCTGAAAGGTGTTTACTTTCCCTTTATGCTCAGTTTGTTTCTTCTATTCAGGTGTAAATAAATCAGATGTGAGTTTATCAACACTTTATTTTATTTATGATCATAATTATGAGAGTTTAATCAGTTCTTTATCGATCTTCCACTGATTCTGTACACCATCTCCATCTGAATCACCTCCAAACCAGAGAAACACAGACTGAACTGCTTTATAAATGAGGCACAACACAGCACAGCCAATCAGAACACAGCTCATTTACATATATCAGTCTTAAAGGTACAGAAACAAATACAGACGGTTTAATTATAAAGAATAAAGATAAAAAATGATCATATAAAAATGAATAATTACTGTTTTATACATAAAACCACACAAACATTATAAACAGAGCTCAGAGTGACAAATACAAGAGTCAAATACAGAAAAGAGTAATAAGGAGAGAGAGAGAGAGAGAGAGAGAGAGACAGAGAGAGAGAGAGAAAGAGACAGAGAGAGAGAGAGAGAGAGAGACAGAGAGAGAGAGAGAGAGAAAGAGACAGAGAGAGAGAGAGAGAGAGAGAGAGAGAGACTTTTTTGACTTTTTAACAACACTTTATTGTAACCATATCTCGCTATGGTGTGTAAAAGTCACATCAGGCCATTTCCGCCCTCAAACCAGCACATAAAAACAAACAGCTTGCTTAATAAATAAATAAACAGGGAAATAAATACATAAAAGCAAACTTCAGTTTTCAGTAATTAAAATCAGGTGCAAAGCAAAGTTCGTTGTCTAAAACCGAGCACACCGCCTCCCCACAGCACCACACCACTTTAAAAGTCTCCAGCTCAGACATGCACTTATAATATTTAAAATCAATTAGAACCCTTGATTTGACCAGTCTAGAGAAGGTTCTCACTACGTCGGAGTCAGCTGCCTGTGCCACACAATTTTTCTGACTCATGTACACTGCCGGTTTGGCCTGACCAAGAATAAAATTAATCAACTGGCAGAGAGAGAGAGAGAGAGAGAGAGAGAGAGAGAGACGGGCAGACAGACAGACAGAGAGAGAGACAGACAGAGAGACACAGCGAGAGAGATAGAGAGAGAGAGAGACTCAGAACCAAAAAGACTCAGTACACTCACAAACAACTGACACTAATCGAGGAGTCAATCAGAACAAACCAGTTCTGGGAGAACTGGAACAAGCTTAAAAAACGAGACCATGAAGAATTGGCAATACAAAACGGTGATATTTGGACAGATCATTTCCAAACACTCTTCAGGAAAGTAGAATCAAATACAAATCTTCAGCAAAACCATATAAACAAAAAGCTTGAAGAACTAGAATTGGCTATAAAGGATAATCAAAATCCTTTAGACTCCTCAATTACTGAGCAGGAACTGAAAGAGAACATTAACTAAGACCAAAGAAAGCCTGTGGGCCTGATGGAGTACTGAATGAAATGATAAAAAACTCAACTTCTAAATTTCAACTGGCTATTCTAAAGTTATTTAATCTGGTTCTGAGAGTAGGTTACTTCCCTGAAATCTGGAATCAGGGACTAATAGCCCCAATCTTTAAAAGTGGAAATAAGTGGCCCAAATAATTACCGAGGCATCTGTGTGAACAGTAATCTGGGGACGTTACTGTGCAGCATTTTAAATTCTAGATTTCTAAACTTCCTTATGGAGCACAGTGTCTTGAGTAGAAGTCAAATTGGATTTTTACCAAATTACCACACCACCGATCATATTTACACCCTACACACCCTAATTGATAAATACATCGTCCAAATAAAACCAAAATTTTGCATGTTTTATTGATTTCAAAAAGGTTGATTTTTGATTCTTTGAGGCTTTTTGATAGAAAGTGGTGTAGGGGTAAAACATATGATCTAATTAAAACAATGTATACGGAAAATAAATGCAAAATAAAAATTGGCAATAAACAAACAAACTCCATCTCCCAGGAGTGCGGAGTGATACAGGACTGCTGTTTAAGCCCAACACTATTTAATATTTACATTAATGAATTTGCGAAGCTCCCGGTCTCACTCTGCACGACTCTGAGATTAAATTCCTGCTCTATGCAGATGACCTGGTTCTGCTGTCCCCCACAGAGCAGGGCCTACAGCAGAACCTGGACCTGTTAGAGCACTACTGCCAGACCTGGGCCCTGGCAGTAAACCTGAAAAAA